CCCTCTTCCTTACTCCCTCCACCCCCTCCTCCCCCTCTCTCCCCTACCACGCTCTCCTATGAAAATAACTGCGCCGCATATCAAAGCCGATGACATGATGACATCAGCTGTAATGTATTCTTATAAGTATAGATTTGTTCCTGATGATCAGCTGTTCTTGTGAAGGTGGTGCCGATTAGTCATTTCTTGGTAGGAAAATAAGAGAGAGAAAAGAAAATAAAAATAGAAAGAAAGAAAGAAAAAATATGTAAGTGTATATATAGAGATATATATATAGATATATAGATATATAGATATATAGATATATAGATAGAGATAGAGATAGAGATATGAATGTATGTATGTATATAAACATCTGGTACCGTAGCAAGGACAAAAACAATAATCGTAAATCTAGATATTTAAAAAAAAAGGATAGCACATTATTTTGTTATCTTTAATCTTGATAAAATGAAACAACTCATTCCTCTAAAGGAATGGCTTGTCTTCAGTCAGCATCATAAAGAGAATCATTTCTGTCTTATCCCATAGTACAAAGTGTCCTTCCGAGAAAAAAATTAAAAATCAATCGGTATTAAGAATACTGTTGTTGTTTTTCCACTCTCTACTTTTGAACTCTTGGCGTTTAATCGTTGTAATGGATAAGATCAAAGGCAGCCGATGGGGAACGTTAAGTGCAGCATCATTGTGACCTTCTGCGCAGTTATTCAGCTGATCACGTTAAGCATCTGTGCGTCGCTGCGTCTTCGAGTCGGCCGAAGTAGCTCAAGGTTTTCGGAGCGCTGAGGAATGTGTAAAGTGTGAATTGCTCCTCGCTCTTTCTCTTCTTTCTCTTCTCGTATTTTTTTTTTCTTTCTTTCCTTTTCTTTTCTTTTCTTACTTTCTTTTCTTCCTCTTTTTCTGTCTCTCTCTTCTCACTTCTTTCGTTTTATTTCGCATTTTTTCTTTCTTTCTCTCTCTCTCTCATTCTCTCTCTATCTCTCTCTTTCTTTCTTTCTCTCTCTTTCTCTCTCTCTCTCTCTCTCTCTCTCTCTCTCTCTCTCTCTCTCTCTCTCTCTCTCTCTCTCTCTCTCTCTCTCTCTCTCTCTGGCGTTCTCCGTCTCGTGCCTTGCTGTGAATACCTGGAAATTTATTTCATTCCCTAGTCCTTCCACGCTGTCCCCCTTTGTTCCGCCGAGACGTCCTCCCCCCTCGGCGTCCCCCTCGGCGTCCCCGCGCAACGGCCTCCCGCCGCGAGCGGTGCGCTTCTCACGTGTCCTTTGTCTCCCCTGCAGGACCCTGACGTCGTGAGCCACGCGCTGCCGGTGTTCCAGCGGCCTCCGTCTGCCGAGCGCGACGCCACCGTGATGCGGCCGCTGGACAACGACGCCTGCCTGACGGTGTCGCGGCGGTCGGACGAGCCGCAGAGCCCGGCGTCCACGGACTACCTGATTCCGCTGCCGTCGTCCTACTCGCTGGCCACCGTGCGCTCCGAGATGAACTCGACGCCGTCGCTGGAGTCGGGCGCCGACTGCTGCCAGCTGGAGCGCCTGCTGGCCGAGGAGCCGCCGCCGCCGCTGCCCACCTGGGAGACCAGCTTCACCACCGAGCCGGCGCCGCCCGCCTCGCACCCGCGCAGCAAGCCGACGCCGCCGCCCGCGAGTATGGCCGCCCGTGCGCCCTCGCACGCCTCCGCCAGGATGGCCGAGTCGCAGTCGTCGCAGCCGCTGCTCAAGACCTCGCCGCCGACGTCGCCGCGGTCGCAGGAGGCCCGCGAGCGCCTCATGCGGCCCGGAGAGCGCCCCGAGCCCGCGCCCATGATCCCGCTGCAGGCCGTGGGCGCCGGCCGGGAGCGCCCCCGCCCGCACCACCACTACCACCCGCATCGCTACAACAACAGCGGCAGCAGCAATAACAGTAGCAGTAGTAACAGCAGCAGTAGTAACAGTAGCAGCAGCGGTAGCAGCAGCAGCAGCAGCAGTACGCTTCCGCTGGACCCGACGACGCTGCCGACGTGCATCCCGCCGCCGCTGCAGTACGTCAACGTCGACGTGAAGCTGCGGTCGGCGGAGTACGACCGCGAGCCCTACCACATCCACGAGACGCGCGAGCACAGGGAGATCTCGTGCTAGGCTCCCCGCGCCCGCCGCCCGCCCGCCCGCACGCCCTCGGCCCTCCTCCCTCGGCCCCGCCGGCGCCACCGGCTGCGTCCTGCCGCCGACTCCCCAAGCGACAATATCCCTTCCTGGCTCAGTACAGCTCCCGGGCCTTACCTCAGGGAGTCCGGTTCCTTGCCTGAGCCGCTTGCATCCTGACCTCACCCCCTCATTCTCCTCTTCCTGCATCGGCGGAGGGAGGAGAGGCGCCGGAAGCAGCGCCCTGGCGACAGCTTTCCCCTCTTCGGTTTATCTCTCCCTTGCCCCTTCGTTCTCCCTCTCTGCTGCTCCTTCCTCCTTCTACCATTTCCCCTCCTCTTCCTCTTCCTCATTCTCCTCCCCTTCCTCATCTCCTCCTCCTCCTC